TGTTATATTGGGAGATATAATATTGGTGATAATGTAGCATTCATTCGTTGATTAATTGTTTGTTTCGTTTGGTTTTCTTCAGTAGGAGGTGCACGAGTCCTGAACACGGGAAGCAGCGGTGGCGGGAGTGGAGGAGCTGGTAAGTTTTAATGTTCATGTCACATTTGTACGCGTATGGTGCAGGACCGTATTGTTGGCGTGAAGTGTTATATTCGGAGATATGATATTGGAGATATTGGAGCATTCATTCGTTGATTCATTCATGCACCCATTGTTTGTTCGTTCATTCATTCATTCAGGACGAGGACGACGTGGACGGGGAGGGCGGGGAAGACGAGGACGGGGAGGGCGGGTCTCAAGGGCAGAGGGTCGTGTTCGTGGGCGCATTTTTTTACGTAATGTTCAGTTTGTTTTGTATAATTAGTTATTAGTTATTATAATTATTATTAATTTTTTGTATTATTTTTAGTATTATTTGTTTAAGATTTTTAATCATTTATGAATACTTGTACCGTTATCTTACTTTATTACTTAAGTTCTCTTTTGTTAATTAGATATGATTAAATTGTATGTTTTATTGATTACATGTATTTCTTAGTGGAATAAATGATTAAATTGTATGTTTTATTGATTACATGTATTTCTTAGTGGAATAAATTTTTTGGAGGGATATTTCTTGTGCTGTGTTTATTGTACTCTTATTGACGTTATCCAGTGTAATTTATCATTCACAGTTTAAGTTACCCTTCAATAACAAAAAACGTCAACATAATGGACTACACGCAAAAGTATTTTTCATTTGTCAACATGTTGTTTCATGATCCATGAAGATACGTGGCACTTCTTTGGCAGTCAGGAATCTGAAAAAGAGGAATATATCCATTATGATAAAGTTAATGATTCTTTTGGTGCGCAAAGACAAAATTGAACAGTGTAAGAAAATCGGAGACACAATATGAAGAAATAGATATTGATGAAACAAATGCCCTTCATGTTGGTCCGTTGTAGGATTGAGTTCAGAATTAAAATTTCTTACAAATTGTCTTCAAAGAAGCAGATAGAAATGCCTCAGAGCCTTCAGGGATATTATTCCATTTATATAAGATACTTGCTGGAAAGAAAGGGAGCACGGTGTGACCAAATATTGCTACTTAATCTGATAATCAGGACGACTACACTATATTGACCCCACCTGACCTGTGGATGAAACACACTGATACTTATCCGACATTGTTCCAAAATGTATCGGAAGACGGCCGGGAAAACGACAGCCGTATTCCATGGACAAGGCCGACTTTGTGGATTTGTGTCGGCTGTAATATCGGGATTAACTGTACTGAAAACCCGACAAAGGTATGATATCATTCCGTAAGCAACACGCTAACAACCCGACCTCCCCGTGCACTGTGTCTCTGGCCACTTGAGACGTACCACTTGACTGGAAGTCGGCAAATGTTACTCGACAGCTGCCATCGACATCCAACTTGTACACTGTCAGGTACATTTTATAACTTTGTAAAACTTAGTCTGTAACAGTGTTATTCTAATGCTGGTATGCCATCTGGCATGCTGTATGATGCAGACAATTGATCCCTGATTAGATCAGGAGCCTGAAAGAGGAGAAAGGATACAAACATAAAAAACAGAGACAAACCGTTCTGGAACATTCACAACATAACGAGAAAAGCGAAAGAAAGTCCACGACCAGTCAGCCAAATACCAAAAAGAAAGAGGAAGAAGAGATAGTAATCATTGACGGAATAACAAATCCCAAAGACTACAAAAACAGCGGAAAGATACCTGCTGAGATTTCTAGATGCAAACCGGGAATCGTACACAACATTGACCTTGCATAAACGTTACCCAGAGGGGGCATTGCAATACACACTAGAGAAAACAAGGCTACACAAGAACTTCTGAAACCTTGGATTGAAGGGGCTTTTGGCAGCCAAAAAGAGAAACTTACGACGCACAATACGAGCAAAACGTGTGGAAGAAGAGCAGTCTTGAAGAACGCGATCAGTTCCAGTGCCACACTTCTGCCTGAAGTCAGGTTGCTACAGCTGAATATTATGCTTGAGATATTCAAAGGCCATTTTTGGTGTTACAGATGTTGATATATATCACTTTCGATGTATGTTTTAGAGTAACGAGGTAGGTGGTAGCTACCATATGGAGCAGGAGGGCTTGCGGCGATCTCTGGAGAAGATGGAGGACTTCATGGAGGTGGGCACTCTGGTGACCCTGCTATCAAGCACCTCTTTTACATCTGGCATGTTGGCAAAGGTACGTTTAAGTTGTTTATACATACTTGCTGTTTAATTTACTGGGGTGTGAAAGTTCATTTCTTCTTCATTTTACAAAACCAGTTTCAGTATACAACTAATAATTTTTGTTCTCATGTAATATGGTTATACTTATGGTTCAAATTAAATCTATGGCATCATTAAAAACATTGACTTTGTATTAAATCATCTACACTTTTGTTCAGGCCTCAAGAAGAAACTGCAAAAAACTAAGCCTGACGAGAGGCTTCCAGGACCTCAAACCGTGGGTGCGTAGCATCGTCACCCATCTGTACTGGGCTGTCTTCTCCACACCTGCTGGGAACGGACAAGCTTATTGCAGACAAGTGAACGTCTGTGCTGGACCACATCCACAATCGGCACAACGGTTTCGCTGGCCTGTTCCCCCAGTGCACACATGGACCACTGGAGGACGAGAAACACAAAAGCCATGGCTCAAGTCTCGTAAGTATATTTATTCACCGTTTTGGTATTTAGCAAACGTTTATGATATGAAATTGTGTTTTTCCATTATCTTTGTGTTGGAAGTAAGCTAGCAGGTAGCATTTTGGATTTTCCATATCATCTTAGGATAGCATTTGGCACATTTTAGTGATATCTTGCCTATTGACACATGATTTGTGTTGTCCAGACACAAAGTAAGATGTACGGACGTGGAAGACAACAATGAACGCGTTTTCTCATCAGTTGACTTTGCTGAATATTAATTAGTTGATGCATTAGTAGTTTAAATATTGCCGCATATGCATTGTAAGTAGTTCAAAGGCGACATGGCTACTGCAATGATCAGCGAGAACGGCAGGTCTGGAGTGAGCAGTCTCTTTCCCCCTAGGAGGAATGAGGACTCACTGCATGACTATGTCCGAATCCTGGTTCAGCGGTCCAAGAGCAACTTCTTCAAGGACATCGATGACGATCAACTGAGTCGTCTTCCCGACCACGTCAGGCAGCGAGTCACGGTTACAAAAGAGGTGTATCGCCGGTACGTCACCAAGAGCGTCCGAGTACGTGGCACCAAGCTGGTGTTCGCCTACGAGTCACAGGAAGACTGGGGAGCGGTCTTCCTAGACAACCTGAAGGCCGAAGGTGGGTACGGGGCACTACAGGCTACCTACAAGAAGGCAGAACGCCTCTGGAGGGAGCATAGTCCAGCGTACCAGCCGTGCGGGGAAGCTTCCCGACGGTCGCCTCAACATACGTCGGACGAGGCGACCGGAGGACACAGAGGCTGAATACAGTAGACGTATTCGCCAAGAGGTCACCGCGGCCGAGGTTCGCCACGCCAAGAGTCCACCGCGGTCGAGGAGAGGGCTGTTAACAGGGCCGCGCAGGATGAGCGGATCGACGCATCCATCATCCCGTGGCATGAACTTCGTCCTGTTGTCCACGAACTCATCACAAAGCTGTCCAAGAAGAGGGGTGGCGACAAGGTAAGTCCGACAAAACGACGTTCTTCGGGAGATAGCCGGCCACACAGACGGCTATGAGTCACCACGGGACCCGCTGGCTACTTTGGGCGACCTCCTCCTCCTCGAGATTCAGCGTCGCCTCTTTAACACAAACAACAACGACGAAGAGGCCAGCTGAATACCACAAGTACCCCCCTTTTCAGGGCCACCCAAATCACTCCCAAACGGGCTATATCTATCACAATCATCTTTCATGGTCAAAAATAAAGGGCGTTACTTTTGTATAGGAGCACTCGGTTCAAGTGATGACAGCGGTTTCAGCACTGGGCCCCCAGTGCTGAGCGACCTTTAATGAACTGGAGACCGAGTGCTGAAAGGAGTTCAACACTGGAAACCGAGAGCTAAGACAACGTTCAGCTCTGGACATCCAGTGCTTAACTTTTTTCAGCACTGGAATTTCAGTGCTGACGAAATTTCGACCGCTTATTCAGCACTGGAACACCGAACTGGAGAAGATCATCTGCAACAGAAAGCTGTGCAATGACACCATGCGCCTGTCTCCGGGACACCAGACATCATATCTTGAGGCTTTCTATATCCCCATACTGCACTTTGCCCCCAAGATGTACCACTTCAAATATCGAGAGATGGAGAGCAGGTTAACAAATGTTCTTTGCAAAAAAACTAATTGTTGATCTTGTCAATGTACACTAAATCTCGCAAATGTTCCCTTGACTCTTGGCGTATTCAAATACTTGGCCGCCAAGAGACGAGACACAGATGACCACCCTATCTTCCCTGGTCCGATGTTTCTGCATGTAATACCAGTGATTTTCTAACCTACTACGAGTTCTTCTCGACTTTGACGGTTGAACTTCGTGACGCGTCCTCGACACTCGTGTTTCGTTCCGATGATGAGATCCCATGATGAGACTGCCTTAAAGACTGACATAAAACAAACTTTCCCAACATCACCTACCCTCACTTGCACGACACCTCAAGAAGAATGTAAAACAGGAGCTGGTGACAAGATCGGTGAGCCTGGGGAGATATGTAAGGAAATTGTCAATCTTTGGAATCAGTTAATCTTAGAAAATGAGGTGTAACCGATGCTGGAGATGAGGTACAACATAAATAAAGAATAAGCAAGATTGAAGAATTCAACACAACATTTGCTCCGGCATTTCTCGACAATTTCGCGAAATTCGTTGAACCTCTTCTCTATACTAACTTTAGGACCAAACTTGACCGTGAGTGATCAGCTTCGCTGTGGGATGAGGCCGATAACAACTGCTAAGTATGAATCATTTGCTGAAACAAATGATCAAGTGAAACGTTGTTCTCTTGCCGACATAGGTCTCAGAACTTACAACAATGTCAAAACCCAGTACAAGGACTTACAACGAGCACTTGTTGAGCAAAATAAAAGTCAAAGCATTTGACTTGGGACCAGCACGTGGTACCAGGTTTTAAGTTTGAAAGTTTATTGCAAATCCATGCCCGATGGCTTATTGCAAGGACATGATAACAACGATAAACAGTAAACAGTAAAAATGATAATAAGTAATGCTAATGCTACTTTAGATATACATTTGAAGCAAGTCCCTTTGAAGCAAGTCGGCTCAGACAACACCATGACTGAAGAAGCAGCGCAGCTGGATTCCTGGGCCGTAAGGAACGACATGCTCCTTAATGGTAAGAAGAGCCAGCTGTTGCTGATCTGTTCCAGCCGTGGTGTACCAACAATGCCACCGGTCACTCTTGGAGGTGACCTTGTCCCAGTCACGAGTGTCGCTAAAGGCCTCGGTTTCACCTTTGACAGCAAGCTGTCCTGGGAGGAACATGTCAGGTCTTTAGTAGCAAAGGCTTCAAGCAGGCTTCATTTCCTGCGATTGTTAACCAAGCAAGGAATGAGTGTGGACGACCTCATACAAGTATACTTATCACTCATCCGCCCCGTACTGGAATATGGCCACGTTTT